TGTACAGATGCACAGAGGGAAATGGGAACTATAGTTGCAGGAAAAAATATATTTTGCTGTATTTAAGTCTTATAATGGATCAATCCAATCTGAAGCAATTGCTTGTAATATTTCTTAGTATTTTCCAATCATTCCCAAGACAAGAAAACCTGCTTGCTAGTAGAAGTACTTGCTGCTTCTTTGAGAATATTTTTGCCCTTGCAATACTCACGTGAGTGGATGCTACAAAGCAGGAACAGGACCATGAAGACCCACACCCCACGGGTGCCCAAGGGCAGCATTACTGCAATGAAACCAAGAGCAGTAATAGGTATAGGGCCCTGCATAAAACAAATTACTGATCTTAACTTCATATTTAGGGATTAGAGTAAACCTGACAGCTGATTGCTGCACAGAGCAGGACTGACTCTTTTGCAAGAAAGAGGCCAAATCCCATTGAAAATGTATGTGTATATATTGTCAAGGAATGATTTTGAAGAAATTTCTCGTCTGAAGGGAGTTTAAAGGAAGTAATTTTGTTAACAGAGACTAGCCAAAAAATTGTCTTTTTGAAGTGTCCCAGAGCTGGACACCAGGCACTTAAAACTATAATTTTTACTAAAAATTTTAATCTAAGCTCAATGAACAGAAACAAGAATGAAGAATGAATAATTTTTGAAAGCTTAAAACTAAATTCTAGTTTAGTTCGTTGAATTCTTCACTCTTTTCATAACTGGAGCATATGAAGAGCTTTGGATAGCATTTTTAAAAGGTGGCTCAAAATGGATTAGGGACAAAAATACTTCTAGAAATCCCCATGTGGTTCATAGTAATTTAACAGCAGGTTTAAGCTGAGTTTTGTACCTGCAAGCAGCTCATGACTGCTTTGACAGACTTTGCCTGTCCCTCCTGTTTTACCCTAAAAAGGGCTTTTTTCAATTATTACCACTTAGTTCTAAAGACAGCTTAATCCTAGGGACAATTTTTTAGTACTGGAGAGGGGAGAACCCTGTTTTCTGAAGTGCTGCACAGGGAAAAGACTGACTGCATTTCACGTGGATATTGCCCTTTGAAGGGTCAGCTCTTTCTGCACTCCTGCTCAGTGAGGAAAGCTTCCCTGCCCTTGGAAGTGCCTGTGCTAGAGAGGAACACACAAACATGTTCTATCCCATGGAGAAACTACTTTGGTCATGTGAAATTATTTCTTAAGAGGACAGGAATAATGTTTTCCAAGAGACTTATTAAAATTTAATACCATTCATGACAAATTGGGAAAACAAGGGAGAAGGAAAACAAGATAAAGAGAAAATTATTTTTCTTGCCATTACTTACTTTTTTTGCTGTCTCCTCCAGCCCTGCTTGAGCAGGGCATGAGCAGCTCCCCAGGGTGCAGCAACCACAGACTGGCCCCGACAACCGTGGAACCAAAGCACGTCACAGCCACCACCCCCAGCTCAGGTGCACGGAACAGGATGGAGCAACAGAGGGGCCAGAAAGAGCTCAGTGGGCTTTGGGAGAAATTGGCCCCTGCTGAGACTGTTGGAAAGCCTCTCAAGTCTTCTAATTCACCAAGTTAAAAACAAGTTCATGCTCTTACCAGTCACACTCTAGTGTACAACGCAGAAACATCACCTAATTGAGCAGACCAGGTAAAAGGTAAGAGATCAAAATACATTCCCCAAATCAAAAAGTTCAGTCAGAATGCTTAAATTAGAGCTTCTCACTATTCCATGAAAGGTGAATTAATTAGGTATTGCTTCACCAAATATCTGCACACTTGAAGGACAAATCTGACACACATCTTTCTTAGACTTGGAAAGCCAATCATGTCCTGGGTTGCATCAAAGGGAACATGGCCAGCAGGTCAAGGGAGGTGATTCTGCCCCTCTATTCCGCTCTCTTGAGACCCCACCTGGTGTACTGCAGCTCTGGAGATCTGGCCCGATTTCAACTGGGATAGAGTTAAATTTTCTTCTTTGTAGCTGGCACAGTGCTGTGCCTTGGATTCAGGATAAGACTAATGCTGATATCACACTGATGTTTAGTTGTTGCTAAGCAGCTCTTGTTCTCAATCAAGGACTTTTGAGTTGCCCTGCTCTGGGAGGGAGCAGGTGTACCAGAAACCAGGAGGGAGCATGGCCAGGACAGCTCACATGGGCTGGCCAAAGGGATATCCCACACCATGGCACATCATGCTCAGTATATAAACTGCAGGAGATGGCAGAGAGATGCCAAACACTGCCCAGGGATGGGCTGGGCATTGGTCAGTGTATTGAGCAATTGTATTGTGCAGCTCTTACTCCTCTTCCATTTCATCTCTCTTGCTCCTTTTCATCACAACAATTATAATTGTATTCTATTATCTTTCAATTATTAAACAATTCTTGTATCAACCCATGATTTTGACTCGTTTCCTCTGATTTGCATCCCCACTGGGAGGGTGGAGGGGGAAGAGAGCACTAAGTGAGTGAGTGAGCAGCTGCCTGGAGTTAAACCACAAGTTCCCCCATGAAGGACATGGACCTCTTCAGGCTTGTCCAGAGGGTCATGGAGGTGACCAGAGGCCCGGAACAGCTCTGCTCTGAAGACAAGCTGAGAGACTTAGGGTGCTTCGGCCTGGAGAAGGCTCTGGGGACACATCAGGGCCCCTCTCAGTGCCTAAAGGGGCTACCTGAGAAAGATGGGGAAGAATTTTTTAGCAGGGCCTCTGCAATAGGACAAAGAGCAAGAGTTTTAAACAAAAAGAGGTTCAAAACAGACCAGACATAAAGTTGAAGTTTTTCACAATGAGGGTGGTGAGACCCTGGCACAGGTTGTCCAGAGAAGCTGTTGATGCCCTGTGCCTGGAGGCATTCCAGGCCAGGCTGGATGGGGCTCTGGGCAACTTGGTCTACAGGAAGGTGTTTCTGCCCAAGGCAGATGATCTTTAAGGTCCCTTCCAAACCAGACCATTCTAGGATTCTAAAACCTCCATTCCTTTTATTAAGGAGAGGCTCTGAATAGACTGGGAGCAGTGTTTTTAAAATATACAGAAGCCTAAAGTAAATGCAGATGCAATCAAATCAGCAGTTCCCCTAACAGATGAGCTGCCTAAAGCAGTTGCAGTTTGTTACAACAGCCATCTGAACTGATAAGTGAGCCTGAAAAAACTTACATATTCACATGGGTTTTTCCCCTCATTTAATCTAATTGCAAAATGAGTTTAAAGGGTGGCTCTCTTTAACCTCATTTGTATGCAGCACTAGCTTGCAAAAATAAGCAACAATACACAGTATCCTCAGTTCTATTGTTTCACTCTATACCCAGACTAAACTCAGCCACTCTCAGCAGCTCGAATAAGGAGATACTTGGAAATGTCTAATCCCCAAGCCTTCCTTTTCTGAAGGATATGAATTACACGAAAGTGAGATTTTCCACACCGATTTACCTCATGGAACACTCCAGACAGTGCATGTCTGACATGGGACTTTTCAGACTGCTAGGAATCACAGAAAATTCCGCCCCCCCAGCGCCCCCCCCAGTTTTAAACAGAACACTTAATTAAGGAGTGTTGATTTCCCTTGCTGCAGCTGTAGTTTACACCTAAGGCTCAGCCTCAGTGCACCAGGCAAAAAAGCACATCCAAACCCCAAACCACACCTAATGTTTGTTCTAACATTTCTGCAACAGTCAAGTTCTTAGCATTTACAGACTACATCCATGTGATCATTTTTTGCTTTAAATTAACTGATTTTATTGGAAACCAGTTTCCTAAATGCAGTGCAAAGCCGTAAGTAAACATTTTCTCCTACTGAATGTTCAGTAGATACACAAAATTACCTATGATTGTTGCTCTTTCTTATAATCCAATTCCACACAGTACTCAAAGCACACAAAAAACCACTGCTCTAAAGTCTATTGTAAAGTAATTTTTAAACAATGAAAAAAAAAGAACAATTATGGCAAACTGACTTATCTGGGTTTAACAGCAATTATTTCTATCAAACTGTTTGAGATGAATGACCTTCGTAACTGTGAAAGCACAAGTGACAGATGTGTGATGCATTTTAAAAAATTGTTTGTAGAAAAACAGATTCATCCCCTGATGCAGGCTAAAGATCCACAGTCCTCTATCAAAGACTCACACTGCCAGAGTAAAGAGCTGTTTCTGTAAATCACAGCATAAAAATATGATGTGAAACCCACATTGTGCTTAAGTCCAATGAATGTCCGACAAGGAGAACCTTGTGATCCAAGTGGAATCTATTCAGAACATTAAGCTCAGGAGGTCTAACCTCACTTTTCCTAACATATATTAAGCTGCCTTAATACCTTAACAATGCAAACATCCCTAGTCACCCCAATTTTCATGGGTGTGAATGTCTAGAAACGACTCTGACTAGCATCTTTTAGGATGAAAATCGGTTAAGTTCAAGTGAATGAACAAGCTTAGTACACATTACTATGGAAACAAGCTCAGCCTTGTCACTTTTTAAAAAATTTCTTTAAGTAGCCACCAGAACCAGCAACACATCTCCCCCACCCCTTAACATAGGTATTCCAATGCAAGTCTTGCTGCTTCTGAAAATAGACAAAACCTTAAAAAATACACAGGATAAAAATATTTGACACCCATCTTCTCTTGCAGATTAGCAGAGAACTTAGCAAACTGTGCAGCAGGACTCCTGAAATAACTGAGGAATACTCACTGGAAGCTAAAGTTTTTCCTTTTAATATTCAATATTGAAGGGTTTTGCAGGAAAACATACTTCAGGAAAATAAGCTGCCTTTCACAGTAATTGCACATAGGAAGAAACAGGGTCTACACTCAGTCCCATACTCACAGCACTCAATGTCCTTCCTGGACATGGTACATAATATTCGATATTAAGGAAAAAGAAGGCCTGAAAAAGCTCCAAAGTAACATATTAAAATAACTGTTATTTATGAAACTAAACCTAGTATCTTCTTGAACTAGTGAATGTTCATAAAGAGATTTCTGTCTGCTTAAAAAAAAGCTAAAGAGATTTTTATGATTTTTATTCCTTGACGAAGTTTTAATAACTCTGAATATCTTAACTCCCCACCCATCATCAACAAAAATGCATTCAGTAAACAACAAAAACACAAACTTCCTATTTTTTTAAGCATTTGTTAATTCATATGTTTTGAGCTTAACCTTACTGAATTTAGACTTTGGCATGATTCACAAATACCTCTCACTCTTTCAAAGAACTTTATTTTAAAAATAATTTTAATTCATTAGACCGTACTTTATAATAGTTACCAATAGGATGGACCTGAACTCAAGCATCAGACATTTGTTGCACTTTCAAGTTTTGTAACAACATGACTTTTCAAAATAAAAGTGTACATTTAGATTCACAGGTTAATTTGTTGAAATTTAATAACATTTAAAATCACTGGAATATGAACTGAAAGGGATATATGTGAAGTATACACAAATACTGAAAAAGGCCATAACCCCAAAACCCACATGGAAATGGAATGCAGCCAATTAGTCAGACTGTGGTTTAGGAATTTCACATTTACCTGGGTTAGCACCTTAGTGAACTCAACCACTGAATGTGAGAAATGAGTGCATGAAGTGTGACCACTCAACAGGTACCATTCCATGAGCAGACTGTGTTGTCTTGAGCATTTTGTGCCACATTTTTGAAAGCTGGCAATATCTGAGACTTTTCGAAAATGTGTAAATAAACAATGGCTACAGTTGAAGTCTAAACAAAGAAATACTTTCTACTTTCTGTCAGTTGATATTTTTTAAAGCAATCATTCATAAGGATTGCATCAACATCAGTTAGCAGAGGAAGATCAAACTTTATTGAAACTGCTTGCATACAAAATATATTGCACTATAACCAAACAAATGTCAACATAAAATCCAATCTGTTGTAGCTAATATGTACAGAGAATATTGCCCAAGAGCAGTTACATTACAAGGTCAGTCTACCTTGGTTAATTATCTACAGTATTTTAAACCAAACAGCTTACAGATGATGTGTGCAAGGTACCAATTTCTGTTTTCAAATACTATACATTCCCAAAATAAATAACTAGAAATCAACATTAATGTTTGGCAATACTTTTTAAGACATTTTTATATTTGTTAAATCATGTGCAGTTCGTTGCCAGTTTTAGTATGCTCACCTGTATGCAAGGAAAAAAAAGAATGGAGAAAGCAAAGAAACAAAACTCACAAAATACATCAGAGGCAAGGTCAAGTTTGTACAATTCTGTACATAAACAGTGGCTCTCCTTCTGGAGTAATCTGAACAAAAAATGGACTAAAATGAAGGTCCTTATGCAGTTGTGCCCAGTAAGTTTAACAAGTGATCAGAAATGAAAGAAAGCACAGCTCCTCCCACCACTTCCCACCCTTCCCTGGTGTACAGCTGTACTTTGGATCAAATTCTGTGACACCTTCATATTGGCTGGTAATTAGGACCCTGCACTTCAAAATCTGAAGAACTTTTATTTTACCTTCAATATTTCAACTACTGCATCTGTAGTTGCCAGGGCATAACATGCGGTGACTTTCTTCTTACCTCTCCTGTGAAATAGCCCCCAAATTAAAATAAGCAATTCAAAAATTTTGGGAGGATGAAAACCATCAATGCTTTAGGCTGGTCATCTGGCCAAACAGCAGGCACCCATTACTAGCTTGTGAACATGTTACACTTGTTCCCTCAGTAACAATGAGTTTTTTAGTTTTCCACAATGGAAAGATTTTTTTTTTTTTTTAGTTTTTTTTTTAAAAAAAAAAGCTTCTGTACTGCCTACAAAGAAAAAAATTACACCCCTTTTTCAATAACACTATTTGCCAAATCTTCAGTGCAAAATAAATTTCCTATTCTTATAACTGCCTAACTGAATGTTTATGTAAGGAAAAAATTATGGAAAGCATGCACTTGTCTATAAAGTACTAACGTCTGACAAGGATTGCTACATATATTTTACATTTAGTGTTACCAACTCATCTTCCCTGATTTCTGCATCCAAATATAATATTCCTACCTGCCAAGATATAAAAAAGGCACAGATCATACAACTTTTTTGCTAATGAAAATGACAATTGTTACATCACACAGATTTCAGGGTCCACCAAAATATTGAAAAAGGTGGACCAGAATGTGAACTGACACAGGACATAAAACGACATAGCATTTCATGAAGAACTGGTAAGTTAGATTGAAAACAGAAGCCAATTTGATTACTGCAAACACTATTTATTCTGAAAATTGAAATTGAGCAGTGAATTTGACCCGATGTGTTAAAATGGTACAACTGAACAGAAAGTTTACCAATGCACAGCTCAGTATTTTTAAAACAAACAAAAAAGAATCTTTCATTGTTTGAACTGCAATATGTACTTGGAAGCGATTTTCAGAAGTTCAGGTATTTTTATGCAAATATTTGAATAACTTCTTATTCTGAAAACAACTGCATACTGTTGATGTTAAAAAAGGCTAACAGAGAACATATGTTCATTTCATGCCCTGCGCCATCTCGCCTACTATTTTGTCTTTGGCCTAACAAGTTTCTCTAACATGGAATAGGAATTACTGAAACAGTATAGGAAGTATGACTTCAGAGTTATGCAGTTTAGGGGACTCCGTTCACCAGCGGCTGTTGCGCGTCGGCGCTGTCCGTCTTCTCCTTCTTGGGGTTCCGCTCCTTGCCCGCGCGCAGCCGGCTGCCTTCGCTCGAGGTATTCTGTAAGGTTTTAGTGTGGACACTCCTTTCATTATTGCAGTCAATTCTGATCTGGAACAATTCACAGTTATATAAAGCATTCTCCTCCTTTCCTCCACCCCTGGGCGCTCTCTACCTTGACGGTCTGGGAGCAGCAAATAGTGCCAGCCCCTCATGGCTTTGTTAAATGTATCCAGCTGCAGGGGAGGGTGAAAATTCTTTTCTGTTCAAAAATGCCACATACCTGTGAGCCAAAAAATCCTCTGCCATCTACCTAGACTTTGCAGCTAAAAGAAAAATTTCCAGTTTGTTTGTGCACAAAAGAGTTGAATTAATATCAGATGGATCTCCGAAACATTATTTCAACTTCTAGTAATTCGACTTCCTACTCTTTGTATGCAAAAATCCCCAAAAGACAGTGTCATTTCATGGCAGCTTTTCTGAATCTCAAAAAAATCTACTCAGACCTTTTTTGAATCTGAAATAAAAAGATCCATTTAATACACCCAAAAAACTTTTGTACCCTTGTTAGGTGGACATAAAAAATTACAAGAGAGCATGCTGAAAGCATATTTTATGCTCGCAAAGGAGGCAAATGCTTATTCCTTTATAAGTAACATGATTTTTGCAACTTGATCAGCCAAATTTGAACAACATGCAAGTACTTATTTTCTTGTAACATGTCACTGCATCCAAATCTTGGAGCAACAGATAAAACTCCCCATGATTTAAGTGCCTTATGGTTTTTTTTCAGCATCACATTTCTCCACTTTGTAAGGTAATTACTAATTAATTATGAAACTCACATGGCCATTATTTATTTTTTCTTTTGCCAAGTGAATTACTTGCATTTCATATGCCTATTCAATTACTACACCTTTAAGTTCAGCACACTCCCATTTCAAAAACTAAGCATCTGGTCACTTCCTCCATTTTGTCCCTTTCTTAACCAGGCTTTCTAAAAACCAAGCCAAGAGTCATGTCTGTGTCTCATTGGAACCCTGATTCCTGGTACCACCACACAGAGGCAGCAGCTTGCAGCTGCTCTGTGTTTCTTCCTCCCAACTTAACTCATCCTATGTGGTAAGAGATGGTAGAAGGTTTGCAAGCTACCATTTACAGCAAGGACAGTTTCCATGCAGGAAAACTTAACATATATACATAAGGTATCAGCTTGATAACTTCATGAAACAAAGCATTTGAAAAAATGTAGAAATATCTTTATAAAAAGCTTAAAAATATTTAAGATTACAAGATCTTTCAAATCTGTTACTTAAAAAATTTCTTGATGTGAATTTTTAACTTACTTTCTAGACTAAATAGCCTTCAATTACCAATGTTTCATTTAGTATTGAAGGTAGTTTCTGAAGTTTAATCTTTCTTACTCTGAGAATTCTGGCTACAACACACTCTCTTTATGTAGTGTTAAGGATTTTCTACCCTTAGGTACATAGAAGATAGACAACAACACACAACACAGCAAGAAATAAAAGCTAAAACCAAAGCACTCGTAAGAAAAGAGACTGAAATCAAGCTGGTTAGTAAATCCTTGAGACTTGTCATCAGTTTTTCACCAGACAGAGCAAAACAGCATTACAAAATTGCATCTTTACGCAGCTTGATATATTTAAAGTCCTGAGCATCTGCGTCGCTTTGTAACACAATTTTGTAGATGTGATCAGAGAGTCAAAGAATATGCAATCACAAGACTGCTGTGTCACTCACAACCTTGAAGACTCTACTTGTTACTATATGACACAACACAATTTTAACAGTACGAACTTCCCACATGACAAGAGTTACCTCAAGAGACCCGTCTGCTGTCCTCCCTTTTGCCTCTCTTGAGTTACGCTGACGGTTATCTGTTCGCGACTGTTCATCATTGCCTGCAAGAAGAATTCATCCACTAAGTTGTTCAACAAAGACATCATCTTCTGCCACTTAGATTTTACACAACACAGTAGGCAATTCAGAATTCTCTGTCTCATGAACAAATGTTATTACTAACATGTAACAACAGTTCTTAAACTATGGGTCAGGAATCACTAAAGAAAATGTTCACAGGTGATGATGCAGACAAAACCTCAGTGTTTAAAACCACCACAGTTTAAAAAACACTGACTAGTGACTGGAAAAAAAACACTTCTCAAAATGAGTAACCACAGAAGAGGGCTACACAATCAGCAGTGTATAATACCTTCATATTTTTCAACGGCTTATAAGCTTCCTAAATTATACATTACCGTCTTATTATGCAGCACCTGTATTTTGAAAAAAACATTTCAAGAAATAAGCAAAACTGCAGAATAAAGTATTTTAACAAATAAATATAATGGAACATCATATGTTCTTGTATATGTATTTAACTTTTTGAAGTTCTCCCATCTTACTTTTGCCTGGTCCTTTCCATTGAACACAAACTACAATGTTATCCTGTTCCATGAAAATCAAATAAAACATATGAATATGGACAGCTGAATGAGTAATACAGATGTTAAAAGATTTTTCTGTATCTACTGAAACTAGGATTTGATTCTTTGATGTCCATGTGTGATGGCACAGGCCACAACTTGAGCCAAGAGGCATTTTAGGAAAACAAATGATAGCAAAAACTCCCCCAAAAATAAAGCCGGTCGAAAAGAATTATACCCCACTGCTCAATGCTCAACACATCTGAAACAAAATACTCCATTTAAAAGACTGACAAGTCAGGAGAGGCCACCAGGTGGGGAGTTGGAGCAGCAGAGCAAAGGAGCAGCTGGCAGTAGTGACTCTGCTTTAGGATTCGCACAGTGACAGCTGTTTCCAAAAGGATCTCCGTTTACCTTTGAATCCTCCGCGCCCCCGCCCGCCTTGGCCTCTGGCGCCGCCGCCGCGCCTCCGCCCGTCCCCCCTGCGCAGGTAATTGTCCCGCTCCTCCTCCGCCGGGGCCGCCGACCAATCGCTCAGCTCGTCTCTGTGATCAGACTCTGTTTCAGAAGCATTTGATGCTTCAGAATTAGTTCCTATCAAGAGGATGAAAAAAATCCAAACACGCCAGTGTAGCTTAGCATGAAATTACTATAGTAGAATGCAGAATGTATATATTTAATTTTTTTCTTTCTTTTTTCGTTAATAGACAGTTTTGGGATGTTTTTGCCTCTCTAACATACATAATACAGAAAGGTATGTAATATATATCACTTCTTCAAAATTCAAGACTGACTAATAAAAATTAGTTGTGTGTTTAAGGCTAAATAATTAAGTGTGCCACATCCTTAAAATTGGTGTTATCAGTATATCAATAGATTACTGAACATACTACAAGATGCAATAAAAGTCTAATAAAACGTAAGTTTAATAGACTAGACTCCTTTGTATTTCTACAACTGAAAGTTGTGAATATAACCTGTCCTGTCTCCTCTCACCACTGCAATTCATCTATGAAAAGAAAAAAATTCCATCATGAAACAGCCTGTAACAGACTACAAAAGCAGAGAACAAAGTCAAAATGCTAGAAATTTATCAAATCAAACAAATGGCCATTGCAATTTTTCCAATTGACAGATCACCTTTACTGAAAAGAGCTGGTTCTTTCCCCATTTTTTCCTGCCCATAACCTATATTATTAACAAGGTGAATTCACATCTTCTAAAAATAGTAAACATCACAACAACATTAATTCTGTATTATGAAGAATGTAAGCTAAGATTTTCTTACAAAGCTCACACTACAGGCCTTTCAGTCAGGACAAACATCAGCTGACCTACATTATGGATAATCAAGTAATAGATTGCTCTGAAGAAGCACAATCTGGAAAACTATTCATTAATGAATTATCCAAGGTTTCAAAGGGTAATACACTATTTTGGTGACTACGGTCTTCTAGTAAAAACATAAAAGTTCGATTTAATATGAAGAAAATAGCTGTCCTGTAAATTGAGCTACACAGTATTTTCACCTATAAATATTTATAAAAGGACAGACTCACACAGGCTTAAAGGAAAACTGAGACTTCATTGTCAGGAATTATTCAAAATATAGATAAAAAAACAATCCTTGCCCTATGGAGTTAGGGAATAACTAGATATACTCCATAACGTAGAAGACAGAAGCATGCTGTAAGAAGCAGGAACTGCATGGAAATCAGTGTAAATTACAGGAAAGCATTACACTCTGAAGTACTTTCTTACAGCATAAAGCTTCAAATATTAACACTCAATATTAACTGCTTTTTAAAAAGCTCTACACCCAGTCTTTTCCAAGAAGCCATGAGAGCAGTAGGGCTCCCTGAGAAGTGCAAGTGTCCCTGGAGGCACCTACCTGAAGCATAGCCCGGCCCACGCCGGCTGTGCCCGCGGTTTCTGTAGGGACGGCTGCCGCGGCCGAGGCCGGGCCCGTCGTCGGTCATGTACCCTTTGTCCTTATCCGTGCGGTTCGAGGGGGGCCTGGAAGTAGCTCCGATCTGTCGCAGCTGCTCATCAATTTGCAATCTTTCCAAACGCAGCTGGTCCACTTCCTGTGCGAACACAAGCCCAGCAAGTCATGTACCGCCGCTATTTAACCATCTGCACGTGCACACATGCAGGTCTCAGAAAGAAAAATATTACAACTGATCATCTGTTTAGTACTCCAACAGCAACTCAACTTTGAGAATAACTTGTCTAACAGAAAGACTTTAGAATGTTCAAATCCATGTGCTACCAACACAATTCTTCCTGTGGCACACTTGACAAGTTTAGGTTTGTATCAAGAAAAAGCACTCACATCAGAACACAAGCTCTTTACACTGCTGCACATAACAAACATCAGTTATTAAACAATTCTAGTGTAACAGTATTGTTTCATAAAGAAGCACTCTGCTTTTAAACCCTACACAATGATAATGAACAGTATGAGGAATGGGAGGATGCATAAAAGCATAGAGAGTAAAGGACTGTGACTCAGGCTCAGAGGCATCAGCACACAGCACCCTCACCATATACAATTAGGTAAAAGAGATACTGCAACACATATTCATGAAGCACCTTTGCCAGTTTCAGATGTTATCTAGTTCACATCAGAGTGGCAATCCCCTTCTTCTTTCACTAGGGAGAAATCTATTGATAGAAGTTTTATTCTGACACATCCTCTGCAGGTCACCTAGTCCAGCTAGGACTTTGTTAAGATGCTTTGGTACTCAGGAATGCACTCCATCAGTGACTTGGTGTATAACTCTTCTCTCCCTCTTAAGATGCTCCATGCTCCCTAACTCAATCTTCCTTTAGGAAGACTAAGACTTCTTGCTCTAGACCCTTCCATTGGTATAGGGGGCTGATATTCCTTAGGACCAATCTTATAAATAAATAATAAACCCAAAACTGAGGATGACATTCAGTACCTCATCCGTCCTGTTTGTGAGCAAGTTCCCTCCTCCATCCAGCAGCAGGCCTGTATTTTCCTTTTGCTGCCAAGATACCTGCAGAAGCTCCTCTTACTCCCCTTCACATCCCTTGCCATACTCAACTCCTGATGGACTTCTGCTTTCCAAACTCATCCCTGCCCACACAAATTGTGCTTTTATAGTCCATTTGATTCACCTGTCCTTACTTTACTCCTTGTATCCTCTTTTTTACTCTATTAATTTAGCCACAGGTTCCTTGTTGATCCCTGCAGGCCTGCTGTTACTTTTGTGTGAACACCTGCATAACAAGATGGATTGTTCTTGAGCTCAGAGAAGGTGATGCTTTAAGAGCCAGCTCTTCCAAACCTGATTTCCTTCCAGGAATGTATCCTATGGGATTCTTCCAAGCAGATCCCTGAACAGGCCAAAGTGCACCTTCCTGCAGTATGGGGCTGTGAATCCTCATATAAGTCTTTCCTCTCAAGATCCTGAAAATTCACTACAGTCATTCCAGCCAAGTCTGCTTTCTTCTTTTTACAGAGAAATTCATGACTCTGAGCTGATCCAGTACATTTGATGTTGATGCACTATTATGTATCTTTTACAAAAAGTTTCCTCAATAATGTTTGGAGGCATAAAAACATTAAAATCTTAAGAGGAACAAGTCTGTCCCTCAGTGAACTGGAGGACATTATTTTGAATCATAAGGCAACAGGCCACTAAGATAACAATATTTTGTTTGTTTATGTTTAATGGGATGAGAAGGCCAAGATAAAACCTTTGAGATAGGAATTTATCCAGTAGTTATCACAAGACTGATGAACACTTATTTGTGACCTTCTGCTCAGGAAGGTTGGAGACCACTAAGACCAAGTGACCATAGTCAAGGATGAATGGATCAATCTAAAATAAAATTGCTGGGCTATTAAACACTTTCTGCTACCATGGCAGTGCCCATTTAAGTACTCACATGCAAGTATGCATTTTAGGCAGCCAAAGAAGTTTAAACCAGAAATATCTTTCCAAATCATAGTGAGTATGCAAGAAATGAACTTGATTTTTAGTATTAGTTTTCATCTGGTTCTTCTCTGCCTCTGCCTTGTGACAGCTGCAAAGCTGCTGCTCCTCTGCTCTAGAACACTGACAAAAGCAGGGTTAAAAGGTAAAGTGACTGACTTGGTAAGAAAACAAAAGTTGTTTCTTCTCATGACTTCTTTGACTACCTGTACTGAAAAGTTTAACAATGTAAAGAAATTTTAGCATTCTAAAAGATTCACTGATAGCTACTACACTGACTGGACAGGTATCAAATCATGAATGGTCTGAAGTCTTCAAAAGAGACGCAAGACTTTAATTTAATTAAACTCAAAGCTGTCCCTACTGTTAGATCTGGCCCTGCCATCGAAGATTGGGCACATGGCCACAGCCACCACAAGCAAAAGTAACTATAAGCAACAGTGTGGGATATTTTTTGCTCCCTATACAACAGACCACTCATCACAGACTACTGGGGAAGTTATGGAGCCAAGAGGCAAACACAACATATAAAGCCGAGTTGCCTACAAAACATACTCAGGTGTGAAACGTCAATTCATTACAGAAAAAGTAGTTTAGCGTTTTTGCATTAAAACAAATGTCCACTCTATACAAGATTCTGCATAAAAGGCTGTTTGCTCTGCAGTTGCATGAAGGACTGACTACTCTCTCATATATAAAGTTGGCAGCACATTTTGACATATTTTTTTATTTTCTTACTCTTTTGTAATTTACATCCTGAAAAATGTTGTCATCCCCTTCTTCACGCAAATTATTATTTTAAAAACATTTTATTTATATACAGAATACCTGTTACAATACTAGTTTTCCAACTGCCTCAGGACTTGAACAGTTTATCATCATCACACTGTTACCATCCTAAGTATTGACAAAAAAAAAAATCAATGGTAAAGCACCATCATTATCCTCACCTTTAAATAATTAAGATGATAATCCAGAAGAACAGTTGCATTTGTGATGCTATCCTTGGTTCCTACAAACACAAATGGTACCATGCCCTAAAACACAGTAACAACAGACTTTGGTTATTGATCACAAAATATTATTGAATTCTGAAGAGAACCAAACTAGTGTAAAACTTTAAAACAATTCTTACACCATGAACAAGCAAAAATGAAAGAGAGACAACAGTATATTTTAATTCTATTAAATTTGATATTGACTACACCATGTACTCTAATTCCCTTTATGCAAAGAGCTTTCTTCAATAGGCAGATTTAGTTCATTTGCATCACAATGTCAATATTTACTTTTCTGAACAAGTGTAAAAGAGTCAATTTAGAACACTTTGTTTTCTCCCTTCAAAATAATACCACTTTTGCTGACTGCATCCATTCTCTCACTCCAGCTCCTTTTGGTCTACCTTTGATCTTTTAAAAAAGTAAATCAAATTAACATTGTGTTGCAAAACAAAACCTGATCCTTCTTGAAGATCTGTACAGTTTTTAAAAAAAAAAAAAAGCCAAAAAATATTCAAGGAAGAGTTAGTACTTCAGGTGATGATTTCTAACTTACAGTTCTTCTACCCTTCAAGCACATGAAGGGTATTCTGTAAATACATGGAAAATATAAATCTGGAAATTCTCAAGTCTGAAATTGTGACATTGGGAAACAAAACACCTAAAGATTAACTTAGGCAGGCAAAACAGGTAAAAAAAAACCCTATCTTAAAGGGCCTCACTGAGTGTGGAAAACTAAGTAAACCTCAGCAAATACAAGGACAATTTGTACACCAAGACACTAAGACTGGAGCATTCCAGAGGTGTGAGTGCAGCCCTCACAGGCCCAAGGAGTGAACCTGACTGTTCAGTGAACCTGCTGCAGTGAACCTGCAGCACCTGGGCAGGTGAAGCTTCACTGTGGACTGCAGATGTTAAGCTGAGCATCTCCAACACTCAGCTGCTGAAGCCCATGCCACTGCAGACCAGAGCCTGGCATACCTGCTGATTATCTCAAATACTGTTCTGCTATCTCACCATTTCCTCTGAAGAAGGCTTTAATTTTCACTGTACACACAGCCTTTACAGAACTGCATTCCAAAGGAAGGTGTGCTGCAGAAGTGAAACTATTTGATACACAGATGTCTTAAAAATTAAAAACACACTATGCCACAGGAGTGGCCAGTCTATAATTTGTAGTTTGTGGCTTTTTTTAAGTTTGTGGCTGGTTTTCTTCCACCTTCCTTTTCTTTTACAGGCAAAAACCTTACATTTGACCTTACACATCTACATTAAGTAACCAGGAAAAATAATATATACACAGTCCTCTAGTCCTAAGGAACCTCAACATGAACACTGACTTTCATGAGCATTAAAAATTCTTTAGCCACAGGCATTGTTGACTGAAATGTTTTATTATCTGGGGTATTTTAAGTTTCATAAATATTTTATACAACCTGATAAAGAGCAGTGAAATTTCTACTAAACTGGCATTAACTAGCTCACAGCATCAATTATTAAATGATGACAAGACAAATGATTTAAGAGGGCATTTAAGGAAACAGCTTGCTGCTGCTTCTGGCTGTGGATTCAAGGTATAACAATGCCAGCTATTAAGGATATGAGCTGGTAACCATGTTAAGCAATTTCAGCCTTACAAAAGCAGCAGAGTGCTTATTTTTTGAACCTTATTTTTGTCTTCCAAAGTAAAAGCACCTATGCTCAACTTGGCTGCAGTGGGGAAAACTGAGCAGACCTTATGTGCATACTAAATTTAGAGATAAAATAATATATATTACTGTAACAAACAGTACCTATCTCATTGTAAAATATGAAAAGCCTGAAGATAGCCTGTTATAAAATTATGGGATGTATAAAACTGCACTTGAAACTAATGGGTAGTATTCTAACATCTCAGTCACATAAAAAGAACCAAGTGCTGTATTAAAATTTAATTGAACTACTGTTCTGCTGCAAGAAGAAGGGCTGCAATATCCAAATTTACATATGGAAAGATTATTTAGATTTCATAGTTGAAATAAAGCTGCATTCAATTTACAAGTACTAACTCTTGTTAAAGTCTGATCTCAGGTTTCTGTATTGCACCTGGCATGACACAACTAACACATGAAGCAGTGCAACCAGTGCCAGTGTCAGAAATGTCATTAACAGGTAAAACAGAAGTATGAATGCAGAGCTTCACAGGTAAAAAAGACCTTTCAAGATAATCCTTAAAAGCTGCATTTTGGACAGAATTAAAATCAGAATTAAAAAAAAAAAAAGCCAGACATACTCCCTGCTGCCATGAGTACTGGCTCTTTTACCCTTCTGTGATTCTCCAGCCTGCAGCAATAGCAGCACCCTCTTGCTTATTAAACTAATTCCATTTTATGCTGCAGGAATTTTTCTTTAGAAATTAAATACGACAGACCAGTGAAACCTTTAAGTCTAAATACTGACCATTTACCTTTCCAGACAGATGTAAAACTAGTAGAAGAGTAAAAAAAGCCCTTAGTTAATTGCTTAGCCACTCTGTACAGAAAGATGGAAATTGGATTGTGGATTTCCAGTAAGTCCTACAGTGATAAAACAGCAGAGGAAATAACTACTCAAGCAAGAACGTAAGGGCTCCAGAAACCACATTTCATAGCTTATTCAAAGTGCAAAGGCTCTTAGCCAGTACATATTTGGATTTTGAGGTAAATGAAAGGCAGTTCAGTTTCTTTAAGCACATTTCACACCTGAAACTGCAGGGAGTCTTTTTGCATTGAGATGTCAAGACCTTCATGCTGTAAGATTTTTTGCATGCCACAAGCTTGCCCCTCAATGCAGCCCCGCACAGAAGTGCCTCAAATGACAATGTTTGAGATTTCCTTCATGCCCTCACAAGGCTGACAGCCTTCCTGTGCAAACCTGGAGTTTCACAGTGTTCATGCTTGTTTTTTCTTTAGGTTATCATTTACAGGCTCTTGTCAACATAGGTAGCATTTTTTAAAAGCAGAGATTTAACATAAAGTACAAGTTTTTCATTTCAACAGAACAAACTGCTAATGAAAAATTAAACCAGGTAAAAACCTAAGAAATCAAACTCAAAGAAGAATAATGAATGAAACCAGCAAGTTTCATATATATGGATTTACAGCCTAGCACATGCTGGGAAATGTCATTGCTTCCAACAGGAACCATGTGACATCTCTAAGAAGGTGCACTGCCAATAAATTTCACAAAGCATTTTTCTAAAACAGAGAAGCCAAATTTATATAAAAATGTCCCTCAGCATTAATAGAAAAGATAGAATCCATCAGAAAACACATTAATCAACACTTTATCTTACCACTACAAAGACAAAAGAAAGAATTTATTTTATCCAATTGACAAAAAGAAAAATTAAATCAACTGAAGACATACCTCTTCTTGTGGAATATTTTTATCATTTTCAGCCTCAATTCTCACTCTTACGACGCCAGATTTGTCCACTATCTCCTGAATCAGTTTTCCATTTTTTCCTATTACTTTTCCTACAGAAAGAACATAGAGAACATTTCAACCTTTATGGTTTTCCCCAAACCTAAGAGTATTGCTGTACTCCAATTAGACAAGACTATTTAGGTGCCAGTGCAAAACTTGATGCTCTACAATAAAGATTTAGCTAACAAGCCACAAACTGAAATGCCCACATAAGCTTGTGGTGCTAACTTATAAAACACACTGATCACAGAAATACTCAGTACCTTGAATGCTTATTTGGCTTTGCTTTGGTAGGTTTAAAATAACTTCAGTGAATTACAAACATTTCTGTTTGCATTTAAAATATCCAATCAAAAACAAACAAAAATTTTACAGTGCCTTAACATTTGCTGCAACTACTTCTTGTGTAAGCAAAACTTAGTTCATTTACAAATTCTTAGTTGATCAAATACGACCAAAGATACTGTCTGAGGTAGATGTAAAATTCTCTAAAACTAAGGATTTTAGACATTTTTGCCAGTAGGTTATAATGCACTAAAAAGTCAAAGATAAACATGGAAATCAATTATACCCCAACACCAGTAATGCAGACACATCTTTTGAAGCAGACATTCTAGTGTGAGACAAGGAAAATGAAAATTTAGTTCTCTCCAATCTCAGCAAAACCATGTGCTGCAAACTGGCAGGAAAACTAAGCTGCTTGGGATGTGATGAGGGAGAGCCCATCCTTCAATCACAGCTGTCAAGAAAAGCTTAGAAGAGTCATGTCAAAAATGTTTTCTGCATGGAACAAAAAAAAGTATTTTTGTTTAACAAACCGCTGGAGATCTTAAAACGTAATCTTTTTCTATTGTCATGTCACTAAATTAGAGGTAAAAAACCCCAAGTGCATAACAGCTACTGTTTGACTGATACAATTCATCCATGAAGAAGAATTTAAATGCCACTTTTAGTCACAACAGACTCCTGTTGCTCCTATCATTCAAAGCTAAATAAAGTTTCATTTTTGTGTTTCAACTTTTCTGACATGAGTATTTGCAGAAAACATGACAAAATATGCCCAGTAAGTTCCTCCTCAATGACAGGCTGCTCTGAGTGTCAAAAACTACTTCTGAGTACTTTATCTGACTATTTTATTTCATTATAAATTACTGACAAATGGAACAGCACCTTACTAATAAATGTAAAAAAGCCTTGGTAGTGATTTAAAAAAATAAACCAAACAAAACCGCCAAAACCTCCACAATTTACATCAGTTACTGCAATCAAAGCTTTTGTGAGGATCTGGCAACACACACAAATATTTTCAAATAAAAATGTCCATATAGTCTTTAAAAAATCAGTAACATGTTGGGTGGATTTTTTCTTTGTTTAGATTTTTTTCAGTTAGAATTTTTAAAAATATAACTAAATAGAAAAAGGTGGTTGTTTGCATCTTCTTTAGATTAAAAAATATCAGTATATATATATATATATCTAAAAAAGCCTTCTTTTTAAAGCAAATTACTAGGAATTTTGAAAGCCAAATTATTAAACATAGCTTATTTCAGACATAACATAGGGTTCAGCCAAAGTTATATTCTGAACTATCCATGTCAAGGATTAAGAGTAGAAATGAAAACCTGCCAAAAAAATATAATTGCTATGTTCTAAAGAGAAACAGACTTTAAGTCCTCAAATTAAAATAATGATGGCAGGTTATCATTTTCACTTATCACCAGTAAAACCAGGAGGGAATAAGGAAGGAAAACGACTGCTTTTAATCAATTCCAGAGCTGAGCTGCCACATTCCTCAGTACTTGTTCTTTTGCAGAATTTCACACTGCTTCAACACCAGCTTTCATACCCTCCCTGACAACCTATAAAGCATTTGCTTTCAGGGCTATGTTATAAAGTATTTTCTCTGCTCTTTTCTTATCTTCTGAATGAAATAACATATTTTTATTTTGCTTTGTGGCATCAAAAGCTCTTAATGACTTCCCCACATATACACGGGCTGCATGTGTTCTTAAGGACTTTTTTATTGTTTGGCAATGGAAATTCTTCATCATTGATACCCAAGTCCTAGTTCATCTCACAATGCTGCTTCTAAACATCTCTAAAAGGACAGGGGGAAACCAGACAAATGTAAATCAAAGAAATTATTCAAAATATATTAGGAAAATATGAAACTGCAGATTCATCTCTTCTATAGCTGACCTAGTCTCTGGACATGTTTGGAGGAAGTAGATAATTCTCTGGCTCAATCCAGAAACTATTCTGCCTCATACTTTAACACCAGCACATTGCTTCTAGTTCAGTGCATTTCTCAGAAGGCATTTTTCTTTCCTATCACAGAGGCAGCCTCCAGAACTGACATACCTACTAAATTCCTTGGGACTTGTATGACATCTTCAGCAAATTCAAGGTAACTTCTTGCCTTTTTCACCGCATCTTGATCCTACAATAGAAAGATGTGTAAGAAACAAGATGCATTTCCAAGGTTTTTGTTTACTTGTTTCTTTCAGGTATTTTCTGAAATGATAAAAAGGGAACTCACCTCTCCATAAATATGGAATGTACAAGTATCTTCATCAAGATCAATGGCAGTCACTCCAGGGACTTTTCTGGCTTGCTGAATATTAGCACCATGAGTGCCAATGGCCAAACCCATTAGGTCTTCACGTACTACAAACTGTTCATGGAACCGGGATGCAAGTTGCCTAGAACTCTGAAGAAAAATCTAGTGTCAGCTCACTATTGCTTGTCTCTCCAGCACACTGGAGATAGAAATCAACATAATTTTCAAGCCTATTTTTCAATCAGGTGCTTAAGCCTACCTTTTATTTACTCAATCCCTTTACTGCACTTATGTTAGCTTCAAAAGCACCAAGGAGTCTCCTTCAGAAATCTTTTAAATACTAACATAAGGCTGGCCTCTAGCTGTGCTGACACCTATTTTGAATTACCCTTTAATAGCCACAGCTATCAGGTGTTACTAGGTAAGGCAGCACTCGTAAGGTAGTAAAATAGTAACTACCTTACTATTATCAAAGCAAACCTTCTGATCTCTGAGAAAAAAACCAGCACCAATTTCAACAGGTGGTGAAACTGTAATAACTCAACCACTGACACAAAATTATGTATAAAACAGAGCAGCTGTGGATATCTACTGCACTTAAAAAAAATGAAGAATCTGTGCCTATGCAAGACAGCACAAAAACTGTCTGAATTCAGAGAACAAGTATGTTCAGAATTTCATCCAGGAATCGCACATCTACCCAGACAGAAGGGTCATACTGAGCACTCACAAGTGTGAGCATAACAGAACACAGGAAAGGAATAATTGCTTAATGCATTGTGGGAAAATAGAGAATTTCCAACTGTGATAATCTATTAAGGAAGGAGTGTTTTGCAAGGAAGAAAAGATAAAAGACATGACATATAATCCCGTCCATGTTTCTGCACTGCAATCGAAGCTGTAACTACTGTCAAGACACACATAAGCACACTTCAAATTAGCAGTTTAATGTCAGCAAAGTGAGACGCTGCAGATGTTGAGAAAACATCAAAGAATTGCCCAAAACAAGCCCTATGCTGTTCCAGCTAAACTGGTACCACTTTCTGAACTGCTCCTGCTTAAAGCTGCTGGTAAATATCCTGTGCTAAATCACTGTTTCAAAGAGTTGGTTACAGTAGATAGTGGTGTAAGTATCCAAGTGTATGAAATACTTCAGATACTCTGAGTGCACTTTCAAAGTACCTCTGTAGCTACATTACAGACAATTTGGAAAACAAACGTTATTCTTAATCGCTCAGATTTCTACTTCAAACAGATAATCCAAATGCTGATTTTACTAGCTGACATCTTTTATAGACAGCCAAATAAGAGGAGAAAACAAGATGACCAAGACAAGCATCAGTTGTTAACTATCTATGATACGTGAAAAAGATGAAGCTACATCATCACTGAGTACCTTGGCTTTGACAGTCAAACCAGAGTTTTACTGCCTGTACTAAAACAGCATCAACTTTTCTGCAAATTATTATGAAGTGTGTTCTATTTAAACATCAGAAATTCTGTGTTCTTCTTCCCTCCAATACATTTGGAAGAAACATCAATGCAATAATGTATTAATACCCACATAGCAGCCAGAACTGAGCTCTACTTAGATACAGTAAAATACAAACCAGAACACAAAACACTTGTCAATTCAGGCTTTTTAGTATGTGAAAGACACCCAAACCAGCTAAATCACACCCACAGGGAAAGAATGTAAACAAAAAATAATCTGTTATTTCACTTGATGCTCTAAAAGCCATGTTTGAGAAGCAGAGCCATGTAAGTCAAGAAGATAACATTCAAAACAGAAGGTACAACAAAAAGGAAGAAAACTCCATTGAACAAAAAAAACTGGTCTAGTGACAATGACTCAGGAAACAAAATAGGTAAAACTGCTAAAAGAAAAGAAGTGGCAGACTTTGAAAGTTCAGTGACTATGAGACACGTCCAAAGGTTTACTTGATGAAAACAGTAAGCTGCTATTAATAATGCAATAAAGCCCAAAGCATTCACTAAATATTTTTTCTGCAGATGGACACGTGCAGTCTGTTGCTATGTCAGTGTCTCAACAATAATCATGAATATGATTTTTATTATCTGAAGCTCTTCCTTTCAACTTTGGATGAAACTGATTTTATATTTACTCTAACTACAAGAAAGACAAATGCCAAAATGAAAAATACCAGCCAACTTCTGTCACACAAATTTTAACTGTATATATTTATCTCACAACCTTTATTTAAGTACTTAGGTAGAAACTGAAGTTCAACAATGGTTTTCTAGTGAGAACAAAATCAAGTTTGAGACTTTCACAGCAGCAAAAAGACTCAGTGTTACAATGACAAGAAGAATCCAAGATTAGTTTGGGAAAGGAATCAATGACAACAGTTGTTGGTGCATGCATTTGTGGGGGCATGTAAAGAGAATTAGCTCTAAAGAGGCTGTTGTTCTTCCCACCTCCAAAATAATACTTTGCACTTCAAGAGGTAAACTGCCCACACAACTGTCAGTTCTGGAGGATAAAGAAGAATGATTACTGAAGAGCTACAGTGGGGTGTTCAGTAAAGAACACCAATGAGGAAGAACTGGTCCGTCCATCTTGGGAAAAATCAAAACCCAAACAAACTTGGATTTCAGCTCTGAAGCACAGAAGTCAAGATACAAGAGAGAACAACAGAAGTGAGAACTTCTTGTAACAGTGAGTATACCCACTGGATACACAAGGCCTGAACATGACATCCCACTTCAAAGGGATGTAACCCCTGGGAAGGGGGAATGAAACCTGGCTCTGCAGAAACTGCTGGTATACACCCTTGTCAAACTGAGTTACAGGAGTTTAAGCGGTACTTCTGGTTCTTGACAGCGAATCTAAAAAGTTTTCATAAATATTGCTATTTTTACTAATTTGTAGATAGGAGAAAAACCATGAAGAAATGTTAATTCTGGTGTATTAAAAAAACTTATTTCCTTGCCTACTCTTTTTCTTTTCTTTTTTTTTTCTTTTACCCATGGACAAGTATGACTCAAGCTTCTTGCCAGTCAACACCCACTCACCAGTCACAGGAGTATCAGAAGCTGTATCTGCTGTAAGATTATTTCCTAACATTTTATCTACAGACAAACCTATCCCTTCATGAATTCGATCAGCATCAGTTTTCACCCCTTCCATCTCATTTTCCCTGTATTATTTTGCTTGATCCAGTTCTAGTCCTATCAGGATCATAACATATTCACTCCCATCTATTTTTAAAGCTACCAAATATGTGGCATTATTTGTGCAATGACGGCTAACTATTTTATGCTTTAAAATATGGAAGAAATACACATGTATTTGTGTCTACATAGCTGTATTTAATCCCCCACAAAATCCTGCTGATAAAAATGAATCTTTGAAAGAATAGTCCCTATAACTGTAAACATCTTTGTTGGATGACACTTCCACCAGCCTTTTTTACCACCTAGATTATTATCAATACATCATTACTTTCACCTCAGTGCAAGTCCCACCAGCTAAGGAACACACAAGAGATTTTTTTATTACCTGTTTCACTCAAATTACTTCAGGGAAAACGACCAACATACCTCCAGCTGTTTGCTGGCTTCTTCATTTCTCAGTATCAGGGATAACTTGGTGCGAAGACTCCGAAAGTGCATATCAATCAGCATGTTGGCCCGCTTCGTGGTCACATCGTTGATTGACTGCATTGTTAAGAACACAACAGTGCTTTACACATGGGCTCTTGAAACAAACCACTGCCAACGGTACAGTAAAACACTTGTACTTACCAAAATAATAAGCTGGTGGTTTTCAGAATCATATGTTACAGAAAAAGCCCCAACTGCCTTTTTGAAGTCCTTATGTGCAGATTCTTTGGCACACCTAGGAATAAAAATGTAATGAAATTAAAAATAGTAACCACTGTGTTTATGGTTAACAGATACAAAGAATAATTCCTTAATACAAAGAATGTAAATAAAGATTTCCAAGCTCTCCCTTTCAAAGCATGTGTTATTTTATTCCGTTATCATTTATTTTACTCATTTTTCTTTCATTTGTTTTCACATGAGTAGGATTAGAAATATTCCAGAAATTTTCTGTATGTAAATCTATGAAATGACAAGTTACACAAAACTACATAAAAGTTATAATCACTGTGATCAGCAAGTTCAAGATTTCAAACACATCATGAACCACTAAAATGTGATTTCATTTTAACCCCTGCAGCATTCTAATGACCATATGCTCATCTCATGCTGTGCTTGGCTTCTCCAGGTTTCCTGTGTCCACTCACCACCGAGTGAACTTGTGTATGCTGTAACACTAACTTCAGGAAGTTTTAGTCTAACCTGAATTTATAGCCCATTCCACACTGAGGCAATAACATGCATCTCAAGGAAAGCAGAAAGTGACCTGAAGGTAAACAAGGGGAGTCAGTATCAATCTGACTTTTAGAGCTGTAACTATATGACAACAACACGTTCATGGCCTAGGAGAAAGTTAGCTGGCTTTGCATCACACTCTGGGAGGTTTCATTATTGTTCAACTATTCCCAAAGCTATCATCAAATAATAAAAGTTGACCAAGAATGGATTCAGATTAACCTGTGCATACCACAGAACAGCACTAAGAGTGAAAATCTTAATCTGTATCACACACAAACCTTAAAATTCTGAAGAAAGTGTTTCTTCCTCCAGGACTAAACCAGAATTCAAAAATCATCTTTTTTATTTTTGAAGTATAACCACATCGATATTTGAATTTTTTACATTCTTACATTTCAACAAGCTAATTTAGAGTGGTAAAAAACATTTTTATTCCTCTTGTCTCAGGCTTAAGAATTTACCCACACTTTGAAACAAGTTATAAAGAAACGCTTGTACTTACATTTGCCTTAAATCTTCAGGAACTGCCAGTTTGATTTTATGAAAAGTATCTTTTGTTGCGGGTTTATTGGGGTTCACAGATCTCAAACGCTCAATTGTGACAATTTCGTTGTATGTAGCATCACAGGCTGCATATTCTATTACGTAGAACTGATATAAAAATAATAAAATCATCCAAGCCACATATTTTATGACATGAGTGAGCATTATACTATTAAGGAAAAAGTACTTTTATTAACTGTGCAAGTCAAATTCGACTTCTCAGGTTGAAGTTAATGGTAATTGCAACTGTCCTACTCAAGAAACTCTTAACAAATTAATAGATATTAGTTCAAACCACAGCGTACATCAATATATAAAGAGAAAAGAAAGAAAAAAGTATAAGTAAATATAAAATTATATATATATATGTATATATGCATACTCCTACCTCACCCTTTATCATTCTCACTTTAGCCAACCACCAACAGCAGGGTTCTTTTTCATTTGCCCTGGAATAAACCTGAACAAAATACATACATTATATCCTTAGAAGACATCACAAAAGCTGACACTAATATGATCAGGAACTCCACAGGAAAAAAATCCAGCAAAACATCTTAGTACATAAAGTCTCTGAGCACAACATAGAAAGCATGTAACAGCCTCAGTCTTGCATACAGTCAAAAGAGAGATAATTCAGACTTTTATGTCTGTTAATATTTAATCAACAGTATTTCTAATAGTGTGTAGGTCTGATGAGGCCCTACCAGTGGGTGAGAGGGAGGTCACATATCTACACTTCTTCAGCACATATATGTTATCAGCAACATCCACATTACAGAAGTTCTGCCATTTTCTTATCTTTCAAATTAAAAACCTACAGAGCATGCAAGCAGAATGCAAATCTTGCAAGTCCTCTTTCTTTAAATTAATTATAAAAGTAAGTGCTACAATTTTTTAAAACAAGGAGGTTTTAGAAATATGCTGCTTTAAAGTCAATCTCTTTGCATATACACGTAAGTATTTACATACACACATATATTTCTATGTTTTTATGTATACACATATAATGCAAATTATCTGATTCAGCTTGAAGCTTTTCTAATAGAGACATTATTACCTTACAGCTTAATAACTACAGTTCATCACCTATTTCTGAATTAATCCAGTCCTAAAAAGGACTGGTCTGTAATCAATGCAACACTGACCATGTCTGTAAATCAGCATATTTGTAACTCAGCATGGAGGTCATGGTACATGGAATTTTACATGGCCTTTTGTGGTACATGGAATTTGCATGGTTTACTGCTGTCAAACTCTGGGTTGGTGATGTGCCTGACACTGTGTTTTCTGCAGTACTTGGAATCAAAGAAGGTGACACCACCTAACATGGAAGCAAACCTTCCAGTGGCTTGGCTGACATTTTTCACAGCAAGTTCTCTCACTTCTCAAGACAAGAGCTGTTAACGGAGCATACACACCTCTACTTCATCGCTTTCATTTATGTCTTTATTATAGCCTGCAGGTGGTGGGAACCTCACATCATGGAATGGGATTTGTCTCTCTGGTTGCCAGCTACAAACAAAAACCACAGTGAATGGTCTAAATATTTTCATCTTCTTTGTAAACAAAACCAAACATTTTTAATCCATTAATTTTACAGCTTCAAATTCTGTGGAGCTTTTGTGCATATATGTATTAAAGATAAAGTGATCCAATGTACACATAGTAAGAAAAAACACATCTAAATGATCATTAAGCATCTTAAACGAAACCCTGATGCCACCTGCACTCTTGAATCTTTTAGTAGCTCTTCCTCTATTTACAGGTATGGTTTTTAACCCAAACATTAGAAATACAGATTAAAAACATTCCGTAACACATTTGGACACTTCCTTCAAAACAAGCCTGTATCTTCTTTTTCTTTATTTCTACTACAGGTTTTGAAAATTTGACCAGGATCCAGTCTGAATACAGTTTTAATTTTCAGTTTCTTTAATGGAGACTGGATAATTTTAGTTTCTTGATCAGAAAATTGGTATTCATCATTTATCTATAGAACAAATTTTGCAATAATGGAATCTTCTAAAACTAAGGCAAGAAATTCACATGAGAAAAAGTCAGTAATGGTGCAACTGTTGACAGTCAAACATGGCTTGTCATCACGTAAATTCAGTAACAACATAACTATCTTCTCAGCAAAACCTATGTTACTATGGTTTTGCACTTGAAAGTATTTAAACCATTAAAAGCATTTATATAGAAATGCCACAAGATGGTAGATACTAAATATAACTTTAAAATGTGCCCCCAACAAGTTTATCTAATATACACTACTCTACACTAAGCCATATTTGGGTCAAACAAATGCAAGGTTGATACTCTGTCATTTACAGGTACAACAACAACAATACACTTACTTGTTTTCAAATGAAACTGTTATTGAATCTTCATGTACATCCTTTACAAATGCCTGTGGAGGAAACAAAGTATAATGATGGTATGCTTATGGACACTTTCAAAAGTTATTTTAAGCCTGTAAAACACCTCCTTTTCACAAGCACTGATGAATCTCACAATAAAAGTATGTTTTAAAGTCAGCCTCTTTAATTTTGCAACAGACTTACATAAAACACATACTGAAAGCTGATAACCTCCTTGGGTTCATGACTGCCAGCGCACTGATACACAAACAGAATGCCTCAGCCATGAAGACATTATTTCTACTTTTTAGAAGCAACAGGAAAGGTTAGTAGGAAATGACAAGATAGTTCAAGAGTTTTAAACGTTTGATTTTATAACCACATTTAATGTATAGACAGGCACAGAAATTAAACATCAGTATTCCTCAAAAAACAAACAAAACCAAAGCCCACAAAACCTCCAAGTCCTGTCTCTTCTTTCTTTATCTCAAAGTATATTTAAACATTGCACTAGCAAAATTCACCTGTATCAATTTCTGCAGAACCTCCCCAAATTGACTTCATCACACTAAGTCTGCAGAGCACAAACTTTTGATAAATGCCCTTGGGCCTGCCTTCCCTTTTTTCCTGGGGGATGGACAGCAGTTGTGCTCTCCATGCCACCACAAAGCAGAGGACAGAACTAGAATTCAGCACCAAGGGCTCCTCCTACCTTAAGCACTCAACTGGCTGATTTGGATTTGATCAATATTTAGCTTAAAGCCCCAAATGCTTCCCCCATTCCACATCTACAGAACAGCAACACCAGCATACTCAAAGAACTTTGGGATTTACCAAATGAAAATATTTTTCTTAGCTTGAAACAATGGGTCTCAGGTTAACCAGGGATGAAAAGATTGTGAGGGTTTTGGTCTTCATTTTTAAAGTACCTCTATGAACTTCTGAAGCAGGTTGCTGAAGCACTGAGTACACAACTAACATTAGTCCACACATACTGTCATTGCAAGGTAGGTAAATAAAAGCCCATGAGCAAGAAAGAATGGAGAAGTTTTTTTCTACTAATGGAGATCCACCTTAGCAGATTAAAAAAATCCCAGTCAATTGAAAATAATTTAGCAGCAACTACCACTTCTGTAGAAGAATGCTAATGAAGTATGGAACATTTTAATATTCTCATTTTATTATTCTTGCCCTTGCAAGTTTACAAGACAAGTAGAGATCGTACCTCTTACAAGAAGGTAAGAGTCTCTCTTACATGAAACCTGAATGTTTTTTTAAAAAATTCTTTTGCTATTTTTGCTTTACAACATATTCCAAAATATTTCCTGAGTTGCAGCAGTATCTTAGTATCAAAGAAGAGCCACACCTGATGCCTAATACAGAGCTCCAAGAACATGAATCTCATCACTCAGAGTCATTCAATACAAGGAAGAAACCATCCGAGTTGATAACTGTGACATAACCAATGCCACTGTGAATAGAAGTCAAAGGAAAGCCACAGTGGCAACAGCAAAAAATTATTTCACCCCTTGCTCACCTCACAATACTCTTAAGAACAAGACTTTATTATTGCCAGCAAACCAAGGAGACTTTAAAAAGTCTCCTTATGTATTTGCATAATTATGAATTTCAAAATTCCATATTCCTTCAGAGAAGATTACAAGCACAGCTGATGTTTTTCAGTGACGTGGTATAAAAAAGACTTAAGACCACATCTCAAGATCATGTTCATAGGAGTACAGAAAAGGTATTTACATGAAGAGGCAGCAGAGCTCTCAGTTGATCATTATTCATACATTTAGCTCATGTTTCATATTGTGGTGTATTCTGTAAGAAGATTCCAGAACTGGATATGCATTTGAAGAATACAATGGTAGTCCTGACTCATTTCACAACATTACACGTATCACCTTCAAAGGCTTCACCCACATGTCTTCCAGTGGTAGTAATGTGCAACTTATTCTTACAAATGCAGCTGAAATGGATGACTTTAACAGCTGACAGACACCATGATCACTAGCAGATACTAGGTATGGCTCCTTTGTGCCACAGACTGGACAAGGATTAATAGTAGTACTTCAGTATGTAAAAGCAGAGATTATTTTACAGAGCAAATTCAACAGAAACAATACCAGCAACACTTAATAGCCTTCAGGAGAACAGGTAAGAGTAACACAACCCCTGGCCTGAGAAACAGTCCGTTGATACCTAATTTTCTCATATTTATAAAATGTCAAAAAAAATCACCTTTCCTTGTACAAAAGATACTTTGGGAGAAGTCATCACCTCTGTGATGATGAAAACACCAAAAGGTGTTCTAATCAGCACTCTGAAAAAGTGACAGAAAATGGCAGAAAAATTCACAAGCACAGCAGCAAAGAGCAAGACTACATCTCACATCCAGAGAGAAATGGAAGAGAGCTCCTACCATCCAACTCACCTTGAGCACAATCCTATGGTCTACAGCAGTATATCTCATTAAAGGTAATAATGGTAAAAACTACCATTAATAAATAAACCAGGATATGCAACAAATAAATCTAAGTTAAGATGAAGACTAGCCTGTACCTTCAAAGAGTTTAGCAATTATATTATCTGGAAACAGTAAAACTTGAAAGACACAGCTGGCTGAAAGAGGAATGAACTACACTGTCCTGTTTTAGCTCCCCATAAACAGTTCTTGCACATTGCTTTGGTCAAAATCCAGAAATCAGAGGGAACCTGAACCAGGAACATAAATTAAACTGCTGACCTAACACAGGTAGCATCAATACAGACAATGCCAAGGAAAATCACAAATCTGAATTTCTTTAGTTTACACCAAGTTCAGAAGAGTCAGCCAAAGAAACAGATATTCATCTGTTTTCACTTCAGTCTGCCCAAAACCATTGATGTCATAACACTGTGGTTTGTCTTTTAATTAATAGTCTCACAAAATTACAAAAGTTCATTGGCATAAATTTATAATTCATTACAAAGTTAACGTCTTGCCAAATATCTCTAATTAATAGTCTCACAAAATTACAAAAGTTCATTGGCATAAATTTATAATTCATTCCAAAGTTAACAACGTCTTGCCAAATATCTAATTTCAAGAATGCAATATATGAAACACGTCTGCACACCTCTCTGTGATCTTTATGCTCAAAAACCACCATGCAAAATATATTAATGACTATTAATACAGTCCTTAATATTTGGTTGTCTAATCCTATCTATCCAGAGAAAGGGGGTTTTCCTTGTTTTTCAGTTTCTTGTGACACAGAAAAATGTCAGATACTCATCACATCAGTTTATCATTGTCTGGACCACAGCATCATGTCAATTTTCCTCCAATATAAATATTTAAACAGATCTGTAGTACAAAAACATATTTGGACTCTTCAGCACTACATATTTCAATTTGTACGCTTTCAAGTACAAACCAGAAAGGTCTGAAACACTTGTAAGTTTTCCTTAAAAAAACTAATATTTAAGCAGCAATGCCATTGGAAAATCAAAATTAATACTGATCCAAACTGTTTGGTAGTCTTGTTTTTGTAATACTTGTGAAATTACACACAATGCTAAAAAGAAATGAAGCCTTTAACACCATAAGCCAAATTCACAGACACAGGACAAGCCAGTCCCAGATGTCAGTAAAGGTAGAGAAGATGCTCTGATCTCGCACAAAGTATCACGAAAAATACAATAACCATTCATCAGCCTTTTTTAGATAAAGAGTGTAAGTAGGCATGGAAATTCAAACGTAACACTGTAGATATATGAGTTTAAAATGCACCCCCATGAAGGGACAGAACAGTGGCTCTGATGAATTGGACACAAAGATGAAATGCCTCAAAAACGAAGTGAAACTGGACAGAAGCAAAATGGGGTAACAGGACAGTGAAAAGACTGAAGCAGCTGACATACCATTATTGCTAACAGCAGAAATACCAAGAAAGAGTACACAAAAATTGTGAACAGAAGCACATTTTATAATGGCAAAGGTTGATTCTTCTTCTCTAACGTGGAAAAAAAAAATCAAATCTGGTAAGTTTTCCACACTGAATTTGACTCTGAGTCACATAAACCATTGCATTTCTCTCCATGCTTCAGATATAATTAAGTAAAAAAGTTTACAGCATGGCATTTCTCAAATACATAATAATTTGCATTCTAAGAATGGCTATATGCTGAATATATGGTCTAAATTTTACAAATTATTTGTTAAAAAAGAAATTATTGGAAACACCGGCATATTTTTATGCTAAATGGAATGACGGACACTTCAAAGGAAAAAATAAAGGCTTCAGCTGCCATGAAATTTTGCTTTTTTAAAGTCTGCTCACATCATCAGATGTGAGCATTGTCAACCATCTTAATAAAGGAGGATAATTAACTGTAAGAAGGGAAAGTAAGGAAAATATGATTTTTAACACAAAAAAGGCTATGTTGATAACAAACGTGCATCTACTGTTAGTGTAACCGTTCTGTAACATTTCATACCTGTTGGAAGGAGAATGTCAAAAGGGAACTCGGTGTATAATCAAGTCTGAGAAAGGCTGGACATACAAAGGAACAGAATAGGGAGAAGAAAAAGAGTCACAGAAATGGTCACCAGACGAGAGAAAAGCGTACAGGCGGTCATCCTCAGAAGGACTGAGCAGACAGGCTCACGAATGTACAAAGAGACTGGAGATATTGGCTGAGGGTGTCTGTATGGAACAGCGAAAGAAAAAAAATGGATACAGAGGGCCACAGGAACAGTTGCTAATAGTGAGACCCAGAGTAATAAAGTAGTAAGAAAGATGAATTATTTTATCAGCTGTAGCTTCAATGAAGTTATCTATAAAACCAAGCAAACAACAGCCAGGCGCTGAAACTACTGGGATAAAAAGTGGAAGATTTTCACAAGGTTATAGAGAAAGAAGTGGCAAAAATTGGGTTACAGACAACACAGAGATATTAACAACAAACACCATCATGAAACTGACTGCCATCATAAGCAGGATGCTTTCCATCTTTAGCAGAGGACACAAAAGAGAATCACTCCCAAACTCAAAAAGAAAAATCAATCTCATGTTGGAAAGGCATCCAGCATGTCCCCTTTTAGAGGGAAATACCTAAAGCTAATCCCAAAAACATTAGGCAAAGGCTGACTATTAGTCCTGTGAATTAAAACCTTCAAAACCCAATTTACCACTCCTATGCAAGAAAAGACATGAGAAGATATGTCCTAATACTGCACACCTTCAAGATTCAGTTACCTGGCTGTGAGCTGCAAAAAGGCAGTTTCCTCCCCTTGGATTCACAGTCCTGGTGATTGCTGGACCAGTCTTCATAAAATAAGTAAGGAAATCTAACATTTTCTTTCCAAGGATTCTGGGCCCAACCACATAGCAAGTCATGACTAAGCATCTCTAGGTACCAGATTGTCAATTATCCCTGAATCATGCCCATTTACTGCACTGTGCTTTCCATGGAATAATTCATCTTAGGCAAGGAGGAAAAAAAAAAATCAGGAAAGTACAAAGTATGCACTAAGCAGTATTTTAATTCCATTCAGAAAGAACTAGCCTGCACTACAGCAGTCACATCAACACACTCCAGTACTCCAGCGCACCTGACCAGGATGAAATTGGAATTCAGATCTTACAGCTGGCTATGAAGGCATCCTCAAACCATCTCCTATGTTTTGTGTGGGACATGAATCCTCTGGATATATCTCAGGAAACACTGGTTTGTTACTTTCAGCAGGGCTTAGGTGGGTACTTTTGTACTGTAAAGATCCAGATGCTGGTGGGTACACTCCAAAATGTTCAGGTCCTCAGAGAGGCTACGGTCCTACAAGGAGGCTATGAAAAACTGAAGCCACAACTGGGTGCCTACTTGAGCCACTTCATCCCATCCTGACTATAGCAGCCTCATACTCCTCCCCCTTCCATGTCTTACTATCAAGAGAAGTGTATTTTTCCAAAAAATTTACATATGCGCATTGATTCAGAATTATTCAAAGCCAAAGAAATTGTCGCCAGTTATCAGTAAATCATGAGACTGAATAAAAGAATTGTTTTGCTTTTGGTTTGTTTGAAACATTATTGCTGTAAATCACTTCTCAGGAGGCTGCTTAAAGAAACTTTTAAAAAGGAAAAAATAAAACCATCCTACAATTAAATTCACACTTGCCATCACTGCATGCTTCTTGTTGACATTCATTTTTTACAACCAAATTGCCAACCTATAAGGTGGGCATAAAACTCACAAGAAAAAAATTAGATATATTACTTTATAACAGAGTGATACTCAGACATTATGATGAAAGAAAAATCTGTAATTACAGTTCAAGTAATTCAAACTAGGGGAAACTAGAGGAAAATTGCTGGTTTATACTGAACATTACTGCATAGAGCGTACAACAACTCCCACTTTTTAATTTTTTTAAAAAATATGTTGCATTTATTTTAAGCGTGATGCTCCATCTCAAGAAGTAATTCAGGTGAAGACGGCTAAATCCATATGCCCATTTTCCCCTTTACACAACTTAACCAAAGCTGCTTGGTCAGTGATAAAGAGGAAGCAAAAAATATTCTGTTAAAATTAATAGAAGTTAAAGGACAAACATAACCACACTGCTTGGGGCAATGTCTGTGTTAGAACTTGGATACACTAAATCATGAATAAGCTTCCCTGAACATATGCTCAAATTAAGCTTTCACCCACACACAAGGGGTACAGGGCCCCAAGGTGTCAAACCTGAACATAAACAATAAAAGTTTCAGAAGCTTTCAATTCTCCCAGGTTTATTCAATAATATTTGTCAATAAAGAATGTACCATGTCATTATTACCATCATTCTTTCACATCATTGTGTAACTACTATAACTTGATGAAAGCCTCATTAAAAGTTCTACTGTGCAATGCATTTACTCCTTCTGCTTCTTTCTGACCAAATATTGTACCCTTAAAAGTGTAAAACTGATTTTTAAAAGTACTAGATTATTTAATTCCAGGAAGCAATATACAGATCTAGAACTTTGACTACAGCACTGTGAGCTCATAGGATGCTTATTTAGCACTGATTTGTATCACATAATTTTTTTTTTAATATTATTTTCAGAATAGGATACTAGCACATGTATTTTAAAAATAAGCTTTTAAGAGGTCTTTTTTTTCTTAGAAAAACTCAGAGGTGTTGGAACTACACCATTTGGATATCTACCTGGCTTACCAGAGGAACACGTGAGAGTGAAACTCTACCCAGTCCTTCATTGCTACCATAAATATTGGATGTCACACTATAACTAGGCCCAATTTTTAAAGTCCTAGGATCATTTAAACCGTGGGAGACTTGCAGGAGCTGATGCATGGCTGTTCCTGGTATGTTGATAACAGGTCAATGAGAGTAGGCCCAAACCTACCATACCCGAATTTTATTTTCTGTAAAACTACGAATTATACCCTATTAATAAGCTGATTAATACAACCCAACTCATGCAAAGCCACACAATACCACACGGTATTAATAAAACATATTCTGTGCTCATATGTTCAAGGCTCAGTGATGGCTTTATTAAGCACAAGGGCTTGGAAACAAACATGCAATGCCACTAAGTAATTTCAGTAAGAAGAAGTACATTTGATATCCATATGTATTCAGGGACTCAGCACAGATATATGTGGCCAAGCAATGCTCTCTTAAACATCACTAGGCAGCTTCCCCTGCCATGGCACTAGGAGCAAGAATCCACCACAGCATTTCATCAGGAATGTGTATTAGCGAGGGCCCCCCTTCTCCCCGCCTTGCAGGCCGTGCTCATGCAGTGCAGCTATCCTGGAAACCCGGACGGCGACAGAGACTTTCCTTAAGTAGCGACAAAAGCTGAGGATTTAGCAATTAATGCCCCATCCCAGCGCTGATCCTCGCTGAGTGCCGGGACAAGGCGGCCCCGGGCGCCCCTTCCCACAAAGGGGGAAGGCCCGAGGCCTCCCCGCTCTCGCTGCTCATCGGGCCTCGAGTCCGCTCAGCCCCGGCGGCCCCGGCTCGCTCTCCGCGGCCACCGCGAGGGACCCGCCGCGGCCTCCACCCCTGCCGGGTTCTCCCTCCTCCTTCCTGCCCCAGGGCCTCCGCTCTCCCTCAGCGCGGGGAGGAGGAGGAGCTGCCGCCGCCTCCTCCTCCTCCCGTTGCCGTGCCCGCTCCCTCCCCTGGGGCCCGGCCCGGCCGCGAGCACCCGGTACCTTGTAGAAGGCCCCGTTGGAGCCCCGCACCTCCACCACCAGCTCCTCCATGTTGTGCGCGGTGCGGGAGACCCGGGCCCGGCGCCGCCTCCCTTCCCTTTCTCTGTGCCGGCGCAGGCGGGGGAGGAGCGGTGTGTGTGTGCGGGGCGGGGGCGCTCGGTTCACGCCGAGCCCGGGGGTGTGGCCACCCTGGGCGGGAGCGGGGGGCAGCGCCGGGGGCTCCGCTCGGCGCCGCCGCTCCGGGCCCGGGGCCGCCGGAAATGAAACCGAAACGGCGGCGGGCGGCGCGCGGGGGGCGCGCGCAGGGCGCCCGGTTCGCACGCGAGCGCTCGGGGCCCGCCACATTGCTTTGCCTCCCTCCCCCCCCTCCCCGCCCGTCGCGCGCCGGAGTGACCGTCCTGGTGGCCAATCGGGTCGCGCGGTGCCGCGCCGCGCGCCTGAGTGACCGGCACTGCCGGCCAATCAGATCGCGCGGCCTGACCGGCGCTGGTCGGGGCGCGCGGCTCTCTCAGGCAGGCCCGTATGGCGGGGCGTGTGTGTCCGTGTGCCCGGCTCGGCCCGGGCCGCGCTCAGGCGGGGGCGGTGCTGAGGCCCCAAACGGCGCCGAGTAACGGCCCCGGGGAACGATGGCCTTGCGGGGCCCGGGGCGAGGCGAAGGGAATGACGGTCCGAGCAGCGCGGGGACTGCTGGGATGGAGGGGGAGATGGCGACCGGGCCCGTGGGGTTCGGGGTCGGTCCCTGAGGGCCTTGTGAGGGGAGAAGGCTCAGCCGTGCAGTGGGCTCTGCCTGCCTGGCCATGGCCAGGAGTTAACAATAAATGTGAATTGAGTACACACCTTGAGTCCTTTGTGCAGTTTTGGGCACCAGAGTATAAGAAAGAGCTAAAGCTCCTGTCCAGAGGAGGCCACGAGCATGGTGAACGCCCTTGAAGGGAAGTCGTGTGAGGAGCAGCTGAGGGAACTTGGTCTATAGCCTGGAGGAGACTGCAGGGATACCCCATGGCAGTCTGCAGCTTCCTTGTGAGAGACGGACGCTGCTCTCAGTGGTGACCGCTGACAGGATCCCAGGGAATGGCCTGAGGCTGCATCGGCGGAGGTTCAGGTTGGGTACCAGGAACAGGTTCTGCACCCAGAGGATGCCTGAGCACTGAACGGGCTCTCCAGTGGTCACGGCCCTGAGGCTGCCAGAGCTCAAGGAGTGTTTGTACAAAGCTCAGGCGCGGCGTGGGATTCTTGAGGCTGTCCTGGGCGGGGCCAAGAGTTTGATGATACTTTCGAGTAACTGAGGACATTCTGTGATTCTGTGAATCGTGACTCTGTGTTAGGAATGCTCCTGCTCCTGCAGGGGTGGTTCTGCTGAAGACTTGAACAGCTCCCAAGGGGTCTGGCACCAGCCTGGCTGAGCTGAAGGGATGATTCCTCTGCCTCGCCCTGTAGCAGTTCCTTTGTTCAACACACAACTTCTCTGTGTAACACATACTATTATTTTAGGACTGTAGATTCCATAATGTTGGAAAAGATCTCCAGTATTGTTGACTGCATCCTTCAGCTGCACTTAAACCCTCATGGACATTTCAATGTGATGTTGCACATACACTGTAGAAACTGGTTGTGAATAAAGAGCTCCAATATGATGGAACATCTTAAGAGTGCACTGGCACAAAAGCTTGTTCAACCTTACATTAGACCTGCACAAACGTTAACATCTTCATGTTTTCTAACATAACTTCAAAGAAACAGAGAAGGAAAAAAATCCCAACTGTTACCCCTAATGCTCAAAAATCAGAATGTATTACTCTGGTTGTGATTTCTCTGGATATGTGTGTGATGCTCTCCCTACTTGAGTCGTGGTGAAATTTTACACCCATTGCATTCATTAGACAATCAGTCACAGGATGGACCTGCTTGGGGATGGCAGAGGGTCCAAGAGAAACTGAACAAAGAAAAATTTAAAGATGAGGAACAATGACGAGTTTTTTTTTGTGTGGATAAAACCCCACCAGACAGATTAAATCTTCCAGAGTCTCCATGAAGGAATTTAGATACAATGGGTCACTGTTGTGTTGTTTGGGTTTTTTTTTTAACTGGAAACCATATAAATTGTTCAACATTTCAACAGCCAGGAGTGATGATGCCCAGCTCTGAAAGTTAGATAAAGTTTTGTTTTTCTTTATTTTTCCCTTGCATTGTTTGTCATAATTATTATCTTTTTAATCAAATAGGTTGCTGTCATGAAGACAGATTATCTCTGAGCAGTCGGAATATATAGGTGTCTAATTTAGCTCTTCCAGTGATGATTTCACTACTCTCCCCAAGATAAAAGCTGCTGGACTGTATAATCTTCCATAATGCTTAACTTAAATTTTCTTTGCCATTGCTTAACTTTGACATTCTTTGTTTTGACCTGACTAGTGATGTTCTAATTCTTGTCTACTTAATGAGAGCATGTACATATCTCCAGAGCACACTCCCTAGTTTATCTGTTAATTTACTCCTAACCTTTCCTCTTGCTTTTCAAATTACTCACTCTTTTTCCTGTTTTACTTTGATTTTTACTTTGACCTATCTTCAGACAGAACTGTCCATGCCTTCTGCAATGTGTTCACAAATTAAGTAACTACTTCTTAGATAGACTTCTAGTGAACTAGATCTTTTCCAGTATGTCTTTATTTCAAAGGTGGTGACACTATGAAAATACATCTCAGTAATTCCATTACAGTCTTTTACTATTAAAGGTAAAATGTTATTTAATTGAAGTATTAGACTTCACTGATATATATAATCACAGAATCACAGAACGTTTAGGGTTGGAAGGGACCTGAAAGATCATCTAGTGCCAACCCTGATGAGTGCACTGACTTTTATAATTCAATCAAAATTCCCCACCCCTCCACCTCCTTGAATATTTTCATATTTCCTGGTCTCTACTGACCTGTTCCAAGTCCTAGGTCTGGTCCTGAAGATAGAATAGAAACCCAGTACTTCTGCTTCTTACTCAGATCTTCACAGCTTTGTGCTTGCAGGATGATCTGCTAACTGGATTTGTGGCCCTTGTAATTTGAAATACCTCTTTTCATCATCCAGATAATTAAAAGGTAAAATAAAACAACTTTGACTTTTATTCACTAATTGATTCACTCAAATGCCTTCTTAAATATTTATAGAGAAGGTAAGAAAAAGGTCCCTTCCCATCTGCTCAGGAAGTTGAAGGACAGAAAGCGCAGGTGAATGACACTCCTTGATCATATCAGAGGATATGATCCTTGATCATTGGTACCAATTTAACTAATGCTTTTTTCTGAGGATTTGTATCTTAGATGTTCCAGTTGTTCATGGACCTTCACCAGGAAATGGCAGCCTTGATTCCATACGTTGAAGGAGTTAAGAATTTAAAATGTAGCCATTGGTGCCAACCTTTCAGATGAGCAGCAACCGTCAGAGCCTTCCCCAACACACTGCTCAGTGAAAGACTCTTCCTGTACACGCTGGGCTAGGAGGGACAGGAACTACTGAGTATTTTCCTCACCTGGAGAGATTTACCTAATGGGATGGTCAGGGACTACAGATAAGAGTTACTCATGAAACATTCTTATAAAAAGATGATAATCCAGTTAACTATCAGAGTCTCTTAATGGAATTTTATACAGTCTTACTTCCACACCTATTTTGGGCTGCAGTCTTGACAAGATTCATAGAGATTTTAACTCAGCTTTTCAACTTTCTATCTGCTGATTTTCCTTGTGCATTACTTCCCATGGCAGCCTCTCCTGGCTGACTCCTTGTCCCCTCCATTATGGTCTGTGGCATGCCATACAGGTGATACTTACACCTCCATATTTCCATTTAAGACTGGTAGTCACAATATATGTGTCTTGTTTCTGACACTGTGGTACTGAGACAGAGGGACTTTGCATTCAGGTCGGATACGTAGCATTCTGAGTTGTTTCAATGAGACTAAGCAATTCAGACTGTTGTCAGTTTAAAGCTGCAGCCAAAAGTTTTAGGGGGCAGAAGACTATTACTCTGATAAAGATGGTCAGGTGTTCTTTTCTTGCTAATTTGCATGATATCCTCAGTAAAGGCTTTTCTATAACCTCACTGAAATGGTGATATTATAATAATCAGATCAGCACTTGGAAGAAGCAGTTACAGTTAATAAAGATACAAAGATGAAAAACTTCTTAGGCATTGCTTGATGAATAATCAATAATAGCTGAAGGTTAAATATAACCAAAATATTGCAGTTTTATTAGCTTGTCCTTGACTGAAGTGATACACAGAAGTGACAGATATCCCAATCAGGGTGTAGAGCAGTGGGTATTCCCAGAGCTTCTGAAGACAAGCTGAACTAAACTAGGGAGGATTTGAAATGTACTGTATATGGACAAGACATCAGATTATGTGATGGTTGTTCATTCAGTTCTTTGAATAGCTAATGTAAACTTTCCCTGGGAATGTTAATAAAATACTCTGTCAGGTAGTGTTCACATGGAGAGGCAAAAAAACCAGAACAATAGCACAAAATAGAACAAAAATACAAACCTTAAAATTGCAAAATGATTAAAACAAAAAATTCTTCATTACATGTATTAGGATGGTGGGTAATCTTTAACCTTGTAAAAATTTATTAGTGGGGAGAGCCAACTAGTCTATTGATTTTCTGTCTTAATTATTTAAGCTGACCTTCAATGAAACTTGACTGTTTCTCTGTTTCTTTTATAAGTCATTAGTTCATCTCTGCCTCTGAATATGTCATTTTCTGTATAGTATCTAGGGAGTAGAGAGCCATCCAAGGTTCATTTTTGCCACAGATTCTGCTTCAGTGTAGATACATGTTTCCACAAGTGGTTTTCAGTTTCTGCGGTATACTGTGTCTTCCTGACCTCAATATGGAAAGAAGGCTGAGGGATTTAAGACTGCTTTGTGCCTGCAGTACAGAAGCCTCCCAGTTTCACAGAGAAGAGTCAAAGAAGTAAATACTGGAATCTGAACTTCAGGAGGTTATTACAATTTTTAGCTTACAAAGATATAATTTTCTAAAAATATGTGGTTTTGAAATATTACCTATTAAACTATCAAGCTCTACCTCAGTTTGCTTATTCTAAAATCATCATTGTCATTCAACGCAACTGTGAAATAATTGGGTTGGTGGGTAATCTCTTTCTTATTTGCTTCATGTTATGTTATTGGAATAACAGATCTGATGTAAAATTAATAGTAATTTGTTCCTTCTTCCAGAACTATGGCTGTATATCATGTTGGTCCACAACTCTCAGCAGCAGATTTCCTTTTTTTGCGTATCAGTGAATTTAAAAGTGTACT